TGATGAAAATCTTAGGTTATAGCCTAAAAAGATCTCCAATTTAGATATACATTCGTTTAAAATGAAGTGATTGGAAAACAAATCGTAGGTTATCACTCATGACAATTATAAATGTTGATATCACATAATTAATTTTAATTCATTAGAAACAATTGAAATTGATAAAAATCATGGATTATAGCTCATTAACATTGTAAGCTTTGATTTACACATAATAAATTCACATTCATTCAAAAAGAATAAAAATTGACAAAAGTCATGGTTCTAGCTCATGAAAATGGCAAATATTTGATATACACACAAGTAATATATGTATGTTTGAAACGAATGAACATTGAGTATAATCGTGGGTTGTAGCCCAGGAAAATTATAAATTATTGTGTACACCCACTACACCCACTAAATTTACATTCGCTTGAAACAGACCAAATTTAACAAAAATCATGGGTTATAGCACGAGAAAATCACACGTTTTGATTTACACGAAATAATGTTCGAAAAGAGCGAAATTTGATAAAAAAAGCATGGGTTAATAACTTATGATAAAAAATCATGGGCTCATAAAAATTGCGAATTTGAATTTACACAAAATAAATTTACATTTGTTCGGAGCGAATGAAATTCGAAAAAAAAATCTTGGGTTAATAACTTATGAAAACTGTAAATTTTAATGTGCACTTGGTTAATTATATTCGTTTGAAATGAACGAAAAATGATAAGAATGGTTGATTTATAGTTCATGAAAATTATGAATTTTGATCTACAAAATTAATATACATTACTTTAAAGCAAACAAAAATTGACAACAATCGTGATTCTCATGAATATCCTGAATTTACATTCATTCGAAACGAGCAAAAATTGACAAAATTTGTGGGTTATAGCCTTTAAAAGAGAATTTCCACGCTCATGCAGTTAACTTACATTCGCTCGAAACGAACATGAAATGTCAAAATTCATGGGTTATAGCACTAGAAATTCACAAATTATAAAACATAGACATTAAGTTTACATTCGTTCGAAACGAATCAAAGTTAAAGAATCGTGAGTTATAACTCATGGCCTATGAAAATCAAGACTTGCAGTTTGCTAAATTAATTGCTATTGCGTTGAAAGGAGCAAAAATGAATAAAGATGAACAAAATTCAAAATTCATAGACAATAGCCTATGAAAATCATGAATTTTGAAGTACACATGTTTACTAGCCATCGGGTCAAATAACGAAAATTAATAAAAATTGTTGCTTATATAGCCCATGGAAAAAAGAATGAAAATTAATAAAAGTTGTGGTTTATAGTATATGAAGGTTGTGATTTTTGAATATTCTTGTTTATAGCCCATGAAAATCATTATTTGAATTACACATAATTATTTGGCAGTGGGTCGAAAAGAACAAAAATTGACAAAAAATTATGCATTATATAGTCCATGATTATCCATGATTATCGTGAATTTTGAAGGAATGGAACTTAATTGTCATTAGTTCAAAATGATTGAAACATTCACAAAATCGTGCATTACCTATGAGAATTTAAAAATCATGGGTAATCCATGAAAATTGTGAATAATGATGTACACATAACTAATTGTCATTGGGTTCAAAATAACAAAACTCGCTGGCAACATTTGAAAATCGTAAATTTTTAAAATCATCAGTAAAGGTCCATGTGAATTTTGAAGTACACATAACTAATTGACATTAGGTTGAGATGAACTAAAATTGATAAAAATCGTGGGTTGTAGCCCATGAAAATCATGATTTTTCAAAATTGTTGGTAATAGCCATGAAAATTGTGAATTTTTAAAATGTCCATAATTAATGGGCATTAGGTCGGAAGCAAACAAAACTTGACAAAAATCGTGGGTTATACACATAGTCCATGAAAATCACAAAATTTGACATATATATATATATATATATATATATAACTTGCCATTGTGACAAAGCGAACTAAAATTGCCAAAATTGTGATTTATAGCCCATCAAAATCGTGAAGTTTGAAGTAATAACTACCTGTAATTGAGTCGAATGAATGATAGTGAATAAAAATTGTGGCTTATAGCCAACAAAAATTGCGATTAATGAAGTTCGCACAATTGATTGCTATCGGGTCGAAACGAACAAAAGTGAGCGAAAATAGCTCATGAAAGCCATAAAATTTGAAGTTCATATACTTATTGTCATTATGTCGAATATCAAAAATAAAAAAAAATTGTGGGTTATCTCATGAAAATTATAAAAAATTTGGTATGTATGATTAATTACATACGAGTCCAAAAACAAAATCGTGGGTTTATAGCTCATATAAACAAATATTCAAATTCATAAAATATTTGTTATATGGTTCTCAAATCATTTGATATTCAGTCAATTTTATGAATTTTGAAGGACGCATATTTAATTGGCATTTGATAAAAATATATGAAAATTGGCAAAAATCATAATTAATTGGCATTTGATAAAAATAAATGAAAATTGACAAAAATCATAATTAATTGGCATTTGATAAAAATAAATGAAAATTGACAAAAGTCATGGATGCTTATAAAAATTGTGAATTTTGACATAAGTTTAATTTGTTTCTATTAGGACGAAACAAATAAAAAATGCTGAAATCATGAGTTATAACCTATCAAATTCGTGCATTTTGAAGTAGTCGTAATTAATTGTCATTGTGATGGATAAAAGTAGTGAGCTATAGCCCATGAAAATCATGACTATTTAAATTTGCTTAATTACTTGCTATTGGATCGAAACAAAATTATGACAAAAATGATGAACAATAACCCATTAAAATAATGAATTTCAAGGTGCACGCATTTATTTAGCATTGGGTCTCGGAATGAAAGTTGATAAAAAAAATTGTGGCATATAGCTCATAAAGATCGGTTGCAATAGCCTATGAAAATCATGTTATGATCCTTGAAAATTGCATTTTTTTAATGAAAGAAGATTTACCTATCATTTGGTTGAAACTAATGAAAATAGACTAAATCGTGCATATTGAAATTTGTACAATTTATTGGTATTCTGTCGAACAAAAATGGACAAAATATCACGGACTATAGTGCATGAGAGTCGCGAATTTTAAAGCGTCTATTCTTATTGGCCATTAAGTCAATGAAAGAAAGTTGACAAAAAATAATTAAAAAAAAGAAATTTAGTTATCATTGGAACGAAATTAATGAAAATTGACGAAATTGTGGCTTATAACCTTGGAAAATCATGATTCTTTTGGTACTCGTGACTAATTGTCAATGGAGTGAAAACGAACGAAAATGAACGAATATGGTGGGTCATTGCACTAGAAATCACGAATTTTGAAATATTCTTAGTTAATTGGCATTAGGTTGAAAAGAAAAAAATTTGGACAAAAATTGAATATGTAACGAATAATAATTGTGAATTATGAAGTATGCATACTTGTCATTAGGTCAAAACAAAAATTTTGAAATATGCAAAATTATTGGGTTAAAGCCTATGAAAATCATGAATATTAAGGTAAGTGTACTTATTTGCCAGCAGATTAAAGATTAAAAATTGTCAAAAATCATTGTTATAGATAATGAGAGTTATGAATTTTTAAGAAATAAAAATTAATCATCATTGAGTTGAAAAGAATAAAAATTCACAAATCTTAAAAACGTGGATAATGACCCATGAAAATCATGAATGTTGATGTACATATAATTAATTATCATTGGATAAAAAAGAACAAAATTTGACAAATATCGGAAGTTATAGCTTATAAAAATCGGAATTTTTAATATGCGTATAATTACTTTCTACTGGGATGAAATAAACAAAAATCGTCAGAAACGTGGGTTATAACCCAAACAAAATTGAGAATTTTGAATAATCATAATTAATTTCTATTAAAATCAAATGAAGTTTGAGAATTTTGAATAATCATAATTAATTTCTATTAAAATCAAATGAAGGATAATGGGAAAAAAGTGTAGGTTAGGCTTTGAAAATCATGAATATTGAAGTTCACACAATTAATTGTTATTGGGTGCAATCGACGATACTTTATAATAATGAAAGATGATGATTATCAATGGCGGGCTCATTAACTTTTTTTAGAGTGACGAATTACAAGCACATACTTACCAAAAAATAAAAAATATAACATTAAAATTCAAATGCATGTGTTACATATTTGTTTAGCGGTTATATAAGTAAAAGGCTTTGGGCGCAAATACTTTTTTAACTACGATACGATGGCTAATCACAAGATTCAAAGGCTGTAAAAAGTGATTTCTCATGATTTTAAAGGATGGATCTGCCCTCTAGATTTGTATATGAGGCCCACCCTTGCTGATTATAACTAATAGATTTAGAGATTTATATACTGACCCAACGAAGCAGCTACTCCTGCGGGGTATCAAGTACCAACAATGTAACGTAGTTAATTGTGTCTTAAATCCGAATTAAAACACAAAACAGCAATGTTCCGGGGAAAAAATCATTATCATAAACAGTCATCAACAAGAGCCCCCCATGAAATGACAGCACAAACTACTACTCTATAAGCAGGTCCTTGACTAAACGATAATACTTTCCGCAGACACTGGTTCGTTAATTGTTATGCCAGTATTTACAAAGCATACCAGTGTCCCTTTCCTCTTATAACTATTTTTTTTTTAAAATCGAGTAAATGAAATTAGTGTGTTCCCTCCATGCTCTAGGATGGTGTGTCACTGAGTGACATGCATCCAGGCCTCCAACCCTAGATTATCAACATCACCTGAATCATAGCTAGCAGCCTAAATGTGCGTCATATCAGTGACACACCAGCCAAGAGTGTAGGGAGGCACAACAACCACGTTTACTCTTTTAAAAAAGATCTTTGTATCAGTTAATAATACAATTTCAGTGACCTGCAAAAAAAAAAAAAAAGGAATGACCGTTGAGTTGAGTTTCAATAGCATGAACATACATTAAGAGGGGAGAGCATAGTTGAATTGCTTGCAAAAAGGAAAACAGGCACAAGTGGATCCACCCTCAACATGTGTTGCATTGGATGTCAGAAGTAACAGGATTTCAGAATACAGATGGAGTATAGGCCTCAGTATGACAGTGTAGAATCATGAAATGATTGGGATGGAGAATATCACGGAAGAAATACAGCTAGTAGAAATCTTTTCTAATATTCATTCAGAACAGAAATATCACTACTCCAACTGAGATCCAGCTCAAATGTAGAAATATTCATGAAATACATAATGAGTATTGAGCACCAAATCTCACCATGGAGAACAAGCAGGCACGAGCAGAATCAAAGCACCAATCATTTATCGCCCTTATTTTCTTGGTTATCTTCATTTTTCTTTTCCTGAGGCAGGGAGGAAAAGAAAAAGATCAGAAAAAGTTAAAAATCTCAAAGAAACTACTGAAACAACAGCTTAATGAGTATTTGTCAATGATCAGAAGCATAGTCACATTATTACATCTCAAACAACCAGTGCAACATTCTGTCAAGCATAAGAAACTAAATCCATAGTTTATAACAAAGTTCGCAATTCAAGTTTATGTTAGTGTAGATCTATTCACGTAATTCTGTTGACCTTATGTATCAAGGATTTGACCAGCAATTACAGTGTGCGCCACTTTAATATCCAGGTTATCATGCCCAACTTCTTTTCACTGCAATTAATTTCCACCCTAGGATATCCAGCTTCTCTTTGTTGTATGTATCCTTTAATGTTTACCTTAATCATGTTCTAAAAAGGTCAGCATACAAAATAACACTATAAACTTTTCCCAATTCTACATCTAAATATTCTAAGCTGTATGTATAAAATTAATTTACTTAAATTTTTTTTTTAATCCAAGAGAAAGGCAGCTGCTTCCCAAACACAAGTAATGTCATGTGGATTAGCAAATTAATCTCCTTCGAGCCTGAACCTGACAGAACCGTTCAGCTGGTCTTTCTAGTTCCAGGGAAAACAACCTTTTTATCTTAGGTTTTCTCATTATCTCTGATTAATGTAATATGAAGGATGAGGCGGTCCTTAGGGAGGTGATATATGGCGGTACTACAATGTAGAAGGTCTTTAAGCATATAGATTCTGTTCTGTTGGAGAACACTAAAATTCCTTCAATTGTACTATTCTAAATTACCCTCCCATCATTATGGGGTTCATCACGCAAAAAAAAAAAGTCAAGGAACTTCTTGCAGACCAGTGTAACTTAAAGATTTACACTTTACAATTAGTTCCACGATAATTAGATTTCTAAAAGCACAAAAAACAATGCAAAATTGTAATGAAGATAAGACCCTACCATGAACATCCTACATAAGAGAAAACAAAGTATAAGCATAAACGATCCCTAAATGCTTCGGAGATGAGTGTATCATGAGCATACCTCAGATTGGCCTTGCAATGATGCCAACAAATCTTTCACAGAAGGATCATTTGGATCAACGCCAGGAAGCTGTAAGAATACCATTAGATGCAGTATAATAATATGGATGAAACATATTATAAACAACTGAAAATTGCACAGTTATACAGATCAGACAAATCTACCTACCGAATTAAGGATGGAAGAAACAAATGACTGGTCCTCCAAAACCTTGCTCACACCAGAATGAGTTGATGAATCCTTTGCATTCTCCTGCGCAGACATTCGAAGAGCTGCATAGCAGATACACATGAATTAGCACAACTATGCAACATGCCAATGAAGCTCATTGGGGAGCCCAAAAATAGTGTTTCCATTGGCTAATATATTCAGACGATGTATGGGCCAACTAAGTAGCAAAAATAATGTGAAGGAACCATAATTGCAAAGGTAATATTGTACTGAGCCATTGTTTGCATCAGCTACAATTGCAAAATTAGTGTTTCCAGTGTGCACATGGAGCACACGTGGGTTTGGTAGGTGTGCATGTCTGTGTTTATGTATGTGTGTATTCCCATCAACCCCACATATACCTCCCTCTTCTACCACCCCGTCTACTCATTGAGATATATGAAGTATTAATGAAACGGAGTGATATACACCAAAAGATAAACAAAATCATCAAAAGGTAGAGAATATTAGAGAAAACTGAAAAGTAGTGATATATACTAAAAGATAGATAAAATCACCAAAAAGCAGAAAGTAATAGTGAAAGAGAGTTGTGTACGCTTAAAGAGTAGACAAAAACAAAGTGAATAGCATTTGTAGGGCTGGGGTGCATGGGAAGGGGCATAGGGAAGGGCTTGGGCCAGGCAGGGGATTGGCATGAGGTAGTAGTGGGAGGGTGAGGGAGGGAGAGTGGAGGTAGGATGTAAGAAATAAAAATAAGTAATAATACCCCATTTACTCAACAATACTACATATTTCTCCACGTTAAAATTTTTGAATGCCATTTGAAGGCTTTAGTCAAGTAGAGTTTGAAGTAAATTTTTGATTTAGAGGTGTCGGTCAAGTAGAATTTCCCTCCCCTTCCACTATGTTCCACCCTTGCCGCACTCAATTAGCTCAATCTCGCTTCGCCAGTCGCCTTCTCGGATTCAGCATGGTCCGGCTATCCTTTCACCTCTATGGTTGTGTGTCCCTTCACCCCGCCCTAACCCTGCACCCCATCCCCAAAAAGGAAGAAAATGAAAGAAAACACCTTTTAAGAAGAAAATGAAAGAAAACTCCCTTTGAGAAAAAGTTCACCCCTCTACCGTACAGCCTGAGGTAGAATCAAGATTATGGTCAACACATCCCTAGCAGTGGCATCATGGCCAGAGATAACAGGCGGATTGCATGAGATGGAGGTCATAGTACAACAGCACAGTGATGAATCTCACTTTAATAGGAAGAACATAGTAAGAAAGCACACTAATGTGCTTGGAATCAAATTTCAAAGTAGCACACTTAAGGTGAGACACGTAAAGAAACCTGATCTGACTCCTTGTCCATTTTAATCTGGCAAAGGAGTGAAAGGGGCAAGATGAAAGAATTGATATTTTTCTTCTTGAAGAAGATAAATACCTCTCAGTTTTTGAAACAGTCTTTTAGCACGATATAATGCTACGGGTAAATAAGCAGATGATACATATGTTAACTGTGTAGGTATGAACTTCAAAATAACAGCAAAACTAACCAAAAGCCAACTCCTGGTCATCTGTAGTAGCATCTGACATGTCAGCATCTGCAACAGTTGCACCACCTGATCTGGCATCATCCATGGACAGAGCAAGAGCCTGCTCTAAAAAGGCGCTCTCATCATCCTGTCACCATTGAAAACACATTCCAGCACAGTTAGCGGTTCATCAGTTATACATGTTTTCTACAGTGAGACAGCCAGGCATGTCTTTAATTAAAGACAATTAGGAATCTCCATCAGTCTCACACGTCAAACTAGAAGTTGATTATCATCCTGACCGTCGTTTAAGATTAGATTAATGACCACACCTTATAAAAAAAATTTAGAGGGTTTATACTATATAGAATGTCTTACCCCCCATTCCCCCACACACTAACAGAAAAAAATAAAAAACCACAACCCAACACACACCCCAAAACAAACCAAAAATATCTTCTACTAATTGATGGGTACACCTCATATATAGATCTTGGTCAGTAACCAAAAAATATGTGCATCTTTCTACGATCTTCCAATTTTTTTTTTATCTCTATCATCTTCCAATGTTTTTTAATAAATACTAGTATTCTCAGTGCACGCAATGCGTGCATGACACCGTAGGCATTTGTGCAAAAAACAATGATTGACGATAAGTATTGATTCGTTCAAGACACCGAACTGGTTGTGTATGATAATTCACCAAATATATCCTAACTACCAATAGCCTATTAAATTATAACATTGTACAAATTTGATATATGTGGGTGGCTGAAAGTAGTGGAGAGTGTAATCCAAATTAACATGAGAACTTGGAGGTTGTTGAGTTTAAATATAAAGAAGAATATAAATATTTAAGGATCAAGTAACAAAAATACCAGTTTGTAGATTTTCATGGGAATAAAAATTTAAGACATTAGTGTAAAAAACAACCCTTAACGAAAAGATACATGAAATAATTGTTCTCATTTGCTTGTTCCTCCTTGTTGAGAATATTTCCCTTGACAACATTGAACCAGCGGTCACTGAGAATATTGCCCTTGATATCATTGAACCAGCGATCACTGAGAATATTGCCCTTGATATCATTGAACCAACAATCAGCTCGATTCAAATTGTGAGCATGTTGTTAGTGCAACCGAATTTGAAGTTACGGTTAAATTGAATCTATTTAGGACAAAGGTACTGTTGGCAAAGATTCTTGAGGGATGACCATGATTTGCTTCTTCCCTCATGGAGTTTCGAATAATAAGGAAACAGTGTTTATCTTGTTACTGAGGAGGTGTTGGAGGAGGATAACGATAGGTTTCAGGGGGTAAAAGATAATATATTTGAAATTGTGTGGTTATGAGGAATTTGGAAGATGGGGGTAGTTACAAAGTAGTAGGTGGTTACTTATGGTTTTTTAATTTTCCAAATTTGCCCTTTGAATTAGTTTCAATCTACTGTAAATTGTTGGGGGCATCACTTGGAATTAATGTTACAAAAAACGCTAGGTGGCCTACGCATTGAACCCGGCGCCTAAAGCCTAGGCGCCTAGGTGGGCCCAGGCAGTTTTCCTTTTTTTTATTTTCTAATTACAATACTTGATAGTTGATAATAAACCACGATATTATAGAAAGCTAAGGTGACGAAGTGGCGCCTAAGTAGATTTCTTTCTTCATTTAAGCCGTTTAAGTGGTGGTGGAGGAGATTTTACTAAAGGTTGGAGTAAGTAGAGAAAGTGCTCATAGTTGGAGGCTGGAGGGTTTGGAGGAGGTCGGAGGACGTGGAGGTTGCAATGGAGGACATTACGATTAATGCCTAAAGGGCGTAGTCCACGTAAGCATCCCACGCTGTCCTAGACACTCCCAAAACCTAGGTGGGTAGCTTAGGTACCACCTAGGCGTAGGCGTGCAGTCTAGGTATTGCCTAGGGCTTGGCGTACGTCTAGGCGGGCCAGGCAGAAGCTCTTTAAAACATCGCTTGGAATTATTCAAATTCATGACTTACAAAGGGTTGAACCAAAAACATGAACTAAAAGGACGAAATGACAACTTTCCCTTCTTAAACATGCAATTTGATTTACTCTTGGAAAATCTGTATCTAGATATATAGCCAATTATGATTATTACCTAATTTGACATAAAGATACCCGTTATGGGCACAACACCCAGCATGATTAATAAATTTTAGACATCATGTTCTTTGTTTGCAATATGCAAGAGCTTGTGATTTCAGCAACTGAAGAGGTAGGAGAAAACACAAACCATTAGATCATGTCTTTTTTCATCAGCTGCAACAGCTGAACTACTAGCAGGCTCAGCCATAGTTGCATCATGAGAAGTTGAAGCCTGGTCTGCTCCTTTTTCTTTAGTAGCATCCTCAGCAGCCTTTTTCGCGGCTGCTTCTTGCCTTGCCCTCTCTTCTTCCATCGAAACTCTAAGAGCAAGAGCAAGCTCAGGGTCTATATTAGGATCCACGCCAAAATCATAGCCAGACACGCCTGCCGCAGCTGCAGCAGCAAAACCGCTTCCTCCATCCTCATCGCCCGTAAAAATGGGCGTACTTAAAAGCATAAGCAATAAGTTATATTATATGTGAGACACGACTTTGAACAGGTGATAATATAGGAGTCGAGAAAATCACAAGACTGACCTTATAAGTGCATCCGAAAGTGTACTTGGGCCAGCAGGAACATGAACAATGTGACTACTACCATTGTTGTTTACAGCCGCAACAAGAGACTCCAGCTTTTCAGATTTTCCATCTTCAGCTTCTCCAAAATCCACAACATCCAGTGAGACGCTGTTCTTCTTTAACTTTTTTCCAATTGTCTCCAGAGTCTTCTTCTCATATTTAACTGGGCTGTTATGCAGAAAAATATGCAAATGAAACTACAAATAACAGAACTAATGAAGCACAAGTAAGTGAGAACATCAGGAGAATAAAGTACCTTCCAGAAAAAACTATGATCCGCTGTTGCTGATTCTTATTTTGCCGGTGTTTAAGAGCCAACTGAGCAACCTGGATCCCTGCAGTGAGGTTCATATCACCACCAACTTCCAAACCTAGATATCCAAACCAATGAACACAGCAACCAAAGAGTCAGAAGTATTTCACAATTGATATAAAGAAAATTTTCACAAATAAAGCATGTTGTAAAACAGTAACACAAGAATAACAAAATAGTGGCAGGCTACTAAAGCAAACACATTGTCTAAAGAGATCTCCATTTTTCTATCTAGTCTTAAAAAAGGTTATGCGTCGACCATCAGCCATGCTGCCTATAATCAAACCTAGACAGCTGCCTAACTGAAGAACCCTTAATGAAATAGAAAACAAATGGCTGCTTAGACAGCTACCTATTATGTTTTCCATAACACAGTCACAATCAAAACTATGATATATATTGCAAGTATACCAAACAATATTTTATAAGAAGCTGGTACAAATTTTACTTACTAAAATAGAAAAATATCACATTTCACACTCATAATTAGACTCGGACGAACTGGTGCAATCCTCTTTTGCCCACTTTTAAGGACTAGAACTATTAGCTTGATAATACGACTATACCAAATATGTTATTAGGGTAGGTAGTACATAACAGAAGTTATAGAAGTTTTGTTTAACTTACATGGAAAATATGTAACCATATGCTATTCTATTTCCCATATATAAAAGTTGACCATTCCTTTCTAGGATGAAGTCACTGTCCCCACATAATATGATCATAACAAGTCTTCATCTCAGAAAACCTCTTTTCTTAACCTAAAACTCGACTCATATAGAAGGGAACCACTCAACTGTCATCTTCACACCTCCCTCACAAACGTCATACAATGTACCATATTGGATATGCCTTGGACGAGCCTGCACATATCAAGCTTCGTATCCTAGAAGACAGCATTTGTGAAGTCTCGGTTTAACTAGCCAGACAGAAAGTACTATTAACATCTCTTAACGGAACAACAGATCACGATCTAACGACTTCCGAGGCAAAGTAAGTGCTGAATGGCTTGGGTCTTGCCTCAAACTCGCAAAGTAAGTCCCGCAATTCCCATTTCATGCACATTGTTAATTTATGCAGTTAAATAGCAAATAATCCCTCGATATTATAGTAATGGATCTTGTTATTATAGTCCTAAGAGTTGCTCATTCCCCCATAATTTGTGTTCAATTATCAAGGGTTCATCATTGTTTATTAAGTTTACATACAAACAATTAGTCACAAGCAATGAATCTACTCAACAACTTCAACCTACTAAAATTTCAAATTTCAACAACGATACCGAGTATAGAATATAGAATTACCATGCATGCAAGCGAGTATCTTTCCAAGATCGCCAGTAGGAGTGACCAAAACCCTAACCCCCTTGCCGCCCATCGTCAACACTCCGACGGTATTCTCCGGATTCGACTGTAAACAAGAAAAGGACAAGTACATAAATAAATAACCAAACCCTAATTTCGCGTCAGCAACCCCCCCAAAAAAACCTAGATCCGGCAACAGGATCGACAAAAAACCTGAGTCTTGGCACCGCAGATGAGATTTATGGCATCGGCCTGCGCCTGGAATCGAGACGGCGAGTAATCTGTTTGCAAAAACCCTAAAGAGTTAAAAAAAGAAGAAGATGATGAGAGATTGATTGCAGACCTCGAGAACCATGGCGATCAGAGGAGAGAGGAGCGAGCGGCGTCGGGAGAAGCGGAGATCGATGAAAAAGACCGGGGATTTTAAGGTTTTGGGCTGGCTTCGCTCGACTCGTGGGCTTTGTACAGAGGGCTGCGGGTCGGTAACACCCTCAATTGTTTTTGGCAGCAATTTGTAATACGGCGAAGTTTTTCCAAATTTGCACTTTAACACCCTCTACGTGGGAATTTCCCTTTTAAAAAGAGTCTAATGTGAAGTTTGTTTATGCATAATAATTTTTAAACGTTTTAATTCTTAATATTGATTAAATTTACATTTAAATATTTCAAAAATAGAATCAAGATAGACTAAAGTAGAATTATAGTCATTTAACATTAGGATTACTAAAAAAACTGAGGATTAATAGGTTCTTAAATTAGCATACAAGTGTCACATTGGAATTTGGGGAGGAATTAGCATAACTATAAATACTTAAATGCAATTTTTAAAATTTTTGGTTGTGCAAGTATTTCTAAAGCCAAGAGATTGTATATAAGTACACAATAGAAGAAACTACATCGTATTTGACTGTAGCTAAGTGTAGTAACAATAAATAAATTCAATTATGTCTCACTGAGGTAATCACACGTCTATTTATTTATTTATTTATTTTATATTTATATCAAACCTTTTATTCTTTTACTAGAGTGAGATTAGAGGTGAGCATTAATCGGTTCAAACAGATTACATCGACCGAATTTTGACGGATTTTGATTTGGTTTTAGAACGTTTGTCGATCGGTTTGCTTTGAGAAAAATTCAAGCCAATCTGATCGTTCTCTTAATTGTCCAAAACATACTCTTTCTTTCTTTTCATCAAACCATAAATTTGTTTTCCCCTTAAATTGTTCATTATTTCAATGAATTTGCATTATTCTTTATTGAACTCTTAATCCACTTTATGGTTTTTTTATATGCATCTTTTGTTTGGGTTAAAATAGTTTTTTCTTAGGAACAAATTTTTGTTTTAAACCCATTCCCCCTTTTTTTTTACTGGAATCGACCGACCCTCTTTTTATTTAGCGGAATCGATCCACTTCTCGGTCACGTCAGCAGCGTGGCCGAGAAGCGGGTCGATTTTTTTTTAATCACATCACTAAATAGTCGGGGTTGCCAACCCCGACTATTTTTTCAGTAGAAAAAATAGTCGGGGTTGGCAACCCCGACTATTTAGTGATGAGATTAAAAAAAAAATCGACCCGCTTCTCGGCCACGCTGCTGACGTGGCCGAGAAGTGAGTCGATTTCGCTAAATAAAAAAAAAGTTGGTCGGTTTGTAAAATAAAAAGTTGAAATGGGTTTAAATCAAAAATTTGTTCTTTTTCTTAGTTAAACCACTACAAGTCCAAACCAAGTAGATTGTACTAAACCTAACCAACCAAACTAATTTTATTGGTTCGTTTTGATTTGAAATATAGATCGATTCAATTCTTTTTCTTTTTTTTTGTCGAAATTTGTAAAAGTTGATCGAACCAACTGTTTGCTCACCCTTAGATAACATTGTCCCCTTTCCATAGTAAACTCATTATTTCTTCCCATTTCTCATAAGAATGTTTGGAAAGTATATACTATGAAACATTTTTAATGTGCAAGAGTGATTTAAAGTATCTGTTTTGAGGCAATAAAATAGTTAAATGTAAAATGAAGAAACTTCTGAAAATATTCTAAATTTATCTACTCGAAAAACACTCAGGGCTAATTGCAAAATAGTCCCTTATATTGTTATTAATTGCAAAATAGTCTCTCAAATCTTCGTATTTGCTTATTACTCCCTCAAATCTTTAATCTTCTTGCAAATTCATCCCTCTTGTTAAATAATATTTATTCATGAGAGTGAACTTCTATTAACTTTAATAGAATTAGATGATTTTCTCATTCTATCTCATCCATAATTAACTTTACCATTTAAAATTTTATCAACTCTTTTCATACCGGGTTTAGACCTGCTCTAACTAAAACCCAAACTGACTAACTTTTTTCTTCTTCAACGGTTAAGAGCTTCCCAAAACTCTATCCAATGTTTTTTTCAAATGGATATATTCCCAACTAGAATTATGGAAAACCCCCACGTTGGAAACTCAGGATCGCTTGGATAATTTTGTATATTGAGTTAAAGCTTAACCTAACTATAGTTAGAAAAATTAACAGGGTCCCTAGAAGAGTAATGTAATTGCAATATAGGGAGTAGGAGGGGTAAAAGTTGCTCCACAGGCTCCTTATACTGTAGACTAAACATAGAGAATATGATTTGGTATTCAAAATCAATGATAACAATGTGACTCCCTATATTTAGTCTCAACATAGGGAGCATTGTTGGATCAACTTTTCTTCCCTCCTACTCCATATATTTATTCTAGAACATGATATAGTGAGCCATTTGGGAAGCATTGTTGGAGCACTTACTTATTATTTAGCTCCCTATTTTCTAGGATGAGAGATTTGCTCCTCAAATATAGTAAAAACCTAATATCACTATTGGAGATACTTTAAGGAACTAATACGCAATTTTTTTTTTAAATGGAGAGCAAGCACCCAGATCTTTCTTATTTCCAAAAATTAGATATAATACACGTGTAAAAACTAGAACCGTCGATCTATCATAGCGATCCTAGGGTTTGTCTTTGCCGCCCCATCTTTTTTCCTATAAATAACAGGCAATATTTGCCGTATTCTTCATCAATTCTCCCTTCTGACGAGGGTTGTTCTCCCTTGCGCCGTTTTCCTCCTAAAAAAAACTAGGGTTTTCAGATTTCTTTTGCGTAAATCTTTCTTTTATTTTTAAAATCAAACGAAGTGATGATCCTTTTTCCCCAGATTATCGACAATGATTATACTGTGCGCACTTAAATCTCTCCTCGGAGAGTTCAAGCCATTGGATCTGATCTTTATTACCCTTCGATTTTCTATTAATTTTTTAATATATTTTTTCAGCTGATGTTATGAGAAAATTTTGACCCGTGGATGTGATGTTTCTCTTTCCCCAGACGATCGACTCTGATTATAACGAGCGCTTTTTGTGTCTTTTCTCTTCTACGAGAAAACCAAGCCAGATTTCTGATCCGCATCAAAATTCTCAAATTTTTTGAAGTGTTTTTTTTTTTGGAAAAAAGTTTGCATTTTTAACGGGGAAAAAAAGTCGACGATGATAAATCCAAAGGCTTGTTTCTCAAAACATTCGCAGTGGCCGCCTGAGGGCTTTAAAAAAGTCGACGATGATAAATCCAAAGGCTTGTTTCTCAAAACATTCGCAGTGGCCGCCTGAGGGCTTTCGCCTCGCCGGGCTCGAGAGCCTTTGCTGTTTATCCTCCTTCCTTGGATGTCTGAGACTTTTACATATTTATTATCAACAAAAATTTGATTTTTCCTGGATTAATTTGATTTGATTTATTCAATTTGTAGCCGATGATGAAAAATTTTAAGGCTTGTTTCTCAGAGACATTCGCAGTTGCCGCCTGAGGGCTTTCGCCTCGCCGGGCTTGAGAGCTTATGCTGCTTTAACTCCTTCCTTGGATGTCTGAGACTACGAATTTCATCAACATTTTCCTTTTTTTAGCATTGATTTTGGGAAAGTTTGCAGTTGTTCCAAGAGAAATGCTCTCCGAAGGGATGTTTTGGATCATTAGACTTGGGGTCGGATTTGATTGATATCAATTTGATTCGCATTGAAGATGATCTTTTGGTGTATATTTTCTTTTTTTTATTATCGGCATTTTACTTCAAATGTGAAATAATCTGTATTTTTTTAACTGGCGTTTCTCCTAAATTAAGAGAGGGTTAAAAATTGATGCACATTAACGATGTTTGCGATTTTTTTCGCTGGATTGATCGTCATTGATAGATTTGCGTGTGTTTGAATGTCTTTGATCAATATTCTTCTACTTGATTTCTGCGGGGTCTTTTGTCAATAAATCGAATAGAGCAAGATCATAAACAATTGGAGTGCCTATCGTTGTATATACCCTGCTGAGTTAAGAACGTTGGACTTGGCTCAAAGGCGTGGATTCGGATTCTCTAAATTCTATTTAGGGGCAAATGTAAAGGATTTTATGATTTGTATGGTGTTTATGATTGTTAGGTTGCAGAGAATTATTAGCAAAAACAATGTCTAAGTTCTTTGTAGTCAAAGGCAATGTAAACAGTATCTATGTTTTTTACAGTGCCTAAAGCTCCTTATACTATAAACAATCTGAATTCGTACATTTATTGCTTGTAAAATGAGTTGACAGCAAGGAAAGATGAAGTGGTAAAATAGTTTACAAGAGGAATATTCTCTATAGAACAATTTTTCACTGTAGACCCAAACAGATTTTTTATTACCAAAATCGACCCGTTTTATGCCACATAAGCGTAATCCCATTTCCTAATTAGTCGGGGTTGCCAACCCCGACTGTTTAGGAGTTGTTAAACCCCAATTAGAAGCCTTAAACCTGATTTAATTAGGGTTTAACAACTCCTAAACAGTCGGGGTTGGCAACCCCGACTAATTAGGAAATGAGATTATGCTTACGTGGCATAAAACGGGTCGATTTTGGTAATTAAAAAAAAAATCGGTCGATTTTGATAATAAAAACTCAGTTTGGGTCTACAGTGAAAAATTGTTCTTCTCTATACATTTTCTTCAATTCGGAAGAAATTTTCTCTTTATTTTTAGTTGGTCTCAGGAATATTAATTTCCTGAAATTAATATTTATTCTCAAATGATTTATTTATCAAGTTTGATAAAACTTTGTTTCCAATGAATGACATTTCGAATTTGTTTCGTCTTTCAAACAAAAATTCAGATCTATATTTTCTACTGGCGATGCTCTATCAATTTGATTCAAACTTTAGGAATACGCTCAAACTTACAACAGTTAACCAACATGTTTTCAGCTACACCATTTCTGGCTGGAATCTCAGCTGGAAGTACCATCCTACTTCTCCCAAAAAAAAGAAAGTTCTCAGCTACACAAGATATTCAAACGTTCAGAAATCCAAAAAAGTTATAATTTGTATATTGTATAATAAAAGAACAGAACAGCACTCACAAAATTAGTTCTACTCAAATTTCCTCACTTCTTTACAGCAACGTATGCTTTCATTCTACATCTCTCCGTCCAGTCACGCAACGCATTCATTCAACGTGCAGAAAACCACATAAATTTCTGTTACTTGGTTTGCCTACAGCTAAAAGGAAGTGAACGTCAACAAAAATTACAATTTTTTTGTACAATCTACAAAATGTACAAGACCTTGAACTTACCGGCACTCCATGGAGGAGTGTGCTTATTTCCCTCTAAATGGAGTACATAAATTACAGGAGGGACTCCCTAATAAAGCCATAAAGGTTATCTCAGGATGACAAATGGGTAGAGGACTAAATAATCATACAATCATTGGCGGAGTTCTATGGACAAGGGAAGATGCCCTGTGATTCCTACTTATTGGGAGCATCACATATACCTCATGGACCTCCTGCTTACAAACTTCGCCTTTGTCTCTATCGATGGCGTAGCACACATAAATTGTATCGATAACGTTATCCAATACATGGACGAAGTAACCCAGCACCAAAATTAGCAGCAGCCATGCTAGAGCGGCAACAAGGTAGATTTCTAGTTCAAGGGTACTGAATGCCTTCAAGATTGCGAAAACCTGTGAAGGGAGAACGAAATTTATCAGATTATCAAGAATAACATACAAACATTGATCACACTGGGACTCGTTGCCTGCTTGTTATCAAAGAGGACAGTTGTACTGGTGGCGAATTGTGATCGAGTAAAATTTCTAAAATTTCTCATAAGAAGTGTATTCCCACACACTTGTACAAAGATACAAAACAAGAAAAAGACAGGTCATTAATTTATCAACATTTTTGTAACATCATTTTCTTTGTTCAATTATTTTGCACATACGAGAGGTAAATGCAGAAAAAGTTGCATTTATGACCACTTTTGAGGATCACTTACCTTTGATAACATACAGGATAAAACTGAAGCAATTTTTCCATTCAGAAAATATATACTACATCACTCAATTAAAGTTGAAACTAGAGTGGACGGGGTAAAAAAGAATATTCTTGCTAAGTTGCTATGATGACAAATGGTAGGTTTAACATAGTCCTCCCACAAATATTAGAAAGATTAGTAATTGTATATTAGTTTGTTACAATTTATGGTAACATGTACGTTAGGCCACAGATGTGATGCCACTGAGTGAATTAATGTGTTCAATGCAACAAGTTATGAATATGAGGAATGCATGGGACATGTCTGTATTTATGTATGTAAATTGTACTTTAAAGGAACGATCTCATGACACAGTTGTTTCACTATCTCATGACATAGATAAAAGAAAATGCTTCAAGTTCATGTATAAAATACCGTGACAGGAATACACTTCCTCATTCTTTTGTTATCTTGGAGTTCCATTCTAAGTTTTTTTTTCCCTAATATTTTTGCAATATGTACATGTATGTATGCCAAACCAGAAGAAATTAGAGTCCATAAAAGAGAAGTTGGAAGCTACTAACCGCTATTGCATATAATGTTGAGATGACAAAAATAATCCCAGCAAGGATCCGGGTAGAGACTGTCTCAACAAAAACAGGAGAGAGAAGATTCCGTCTAAGAAGCTCATATGTCATCTTTGCTGAAGAGCAGTAAGATTCGCCGGTAATTGCCGCAAAATTTATGGTGAACTTATTGACGAAGTCAACTGCTGATAACAAAAACTTTGCACAGCAACTAAGAATAAGATTCACAAATCCAGAAGCATTTTCTTCATGTTGCGCACTATCTACTATAGCACGCACCACCCTTATAATACCCATTACCATTCCTGAGAAACACACTGTACCAAA